AGCCCATGATAAATAATTTTTTCCATTGAGTTTCTTCGTGGTTATGGTCGGAGTGCCAGAAATAGACAAAACAGGGCCTAGAGATGCCATAAGAAGATGGGTCGTGCACAGAGAGAAGAATAGCAGAAGAGAAACGCAGGCCCACACCTTAAATAGTGGTCAAATCACAAAACTGAGTCCAGAAATAGGCTCAGGAGGCTCCGACGAACAAGACGGTGGCGGAGTGAGGAGGCTCAGACGAACAAGACGGTGGCGGAGTGAGGAGGTTCCGACGAACAAACAGCGGTGCGTGAACAGTACGCGCTTGACAGAACTGGAGGGAAAAACGGCGCGTGAGAGCGCGTGGGGACTCTGAACGCGCCGAAGTTGACGGGGTTAGGTCACGCTTGACAAGGCGCACCAAACCCTAGGTTCGTCGGAGAACAGGACGGCGGCGGAAGGCAGAGCGGGATCAACCCCGCTCTGATACCAACTTGAATATTTAAACAGAGTGGCCAAAAAGGATCAGTTTTACTGATCTGTATATTTTCCTTATATAAAGAGATTAGGGTTACAAGAAGAAAAAGGCTACAGAGTAGGCTACAGTGTCTAGAAGCCTAAGTAATTATATTAGGAGAAAAGACCAATCAGAAAAATACAATAAATATTTAAACAAGAAGAAGCTTTCTAAACAAGCTATTCTAACAGTGAGTATATCTATTGAAGGAGATCCCTTGGTACCAGAGGTGAAATTCCTCTAATAGATCTCTATTGACACACAATTTGGCAAGTAAAGCCTTGGGTCAAATTGGACACATTTGAGTTTTGGGTAAGCACTAAGTGATAATGATGCTTGGTCTGAGGATTTCCAACATGTCATTTGCTACTTACCTTGTGGTCATGGGGGTTTCATCCACTATCAACCATTTTACTGATGAAAAAAATGTAGCCTATAAAGGAAAACACCATAAGCCATTTTTAGTTGCTAAAACAAATGTTTTTTGAAACCAAATTCTCAAGATGTAACTTGTATTATTAGGCCTTCAATATACCTCCTACTTAACAAGATAATAACTCTTCTAATCACTCCACATTAGTTGTACCCTTTAAGAGAGCTTTAGGTCTTTGAAGTATGAGTTTTTGAAGTATAACTACTTAACCACTTTGCTAGGGATCCAATAAGATATAAAAGATTGGTGGGGGAACCATTAATGATCGGATCCCTTAATGGTTCACCTTGAGCAATCATTAACATTTGATTAGGATCCATAGGACTATCATGGGCTTGCAATAAATAATGCTTGTATATTTCATAATATATAGAGCATACTTCTATTGCGAGATCAGAATGCCTTCCTTTGATTGGGCCACTTCAATACCAATTTATTATTTCAGGAAGCCAAGGTTTTGGTTTGGAAGTGACTAAATAAGTGTCTTTTTAGTTGGGAAATTTTAGCAACATCATTACTTGTAATTACTATGTCATTAACATAGACAACTCAATAAACACATTTCTCGGGTGAAGGATGGCAATAGAAAACTAATGATCTGCTTCATCATTAGCCACTAGTTGGGCTTTTAGGTGATTAACCTCACTATTAGGGTCAACTATAATATAATAGGCTCCTTTGTATCCAACTGGTATCTTTCTAGGAGGAAGACGAGTAAGCTCCCATGTGCCATTGTGTTTAAGAGCTTGCATTTCAACAATCATGACTTGTTGCCATCCATGATGATCAAGTGCTTCATGAACATATTTGGGAATAATAAGGGAAGATATAGAGGTAACGAATGATGATAAAGAAACTTAAAGAAAATGATTTGTCAAATAAGATTGGACCAATTATTTGTGTTCGACGCTTATGTAATGAGAGGTGGAGGAACATTTGTTGGACCATTGGAATGAGAGGTTGATTTTCCTCTCAGTTGGGAGTGCCATGGCTAGTAACTTGAGAAGGGACAGGTAAAACTTGTATTGTTGCAAAATCATGCATGGAGGATGAGAGGGAGTCTCTTCAATGAATGTGACATCAACACCATGTAGTACCTTTGAGCCTTTGGAAAGTAATAGTATATCCTTTTTTGAAGGCGAGATTATCCTAGGAAAACACATTTAGTAGTCTGGCAAAAAGTTTATCTAGACTTGGGGAAGCATCATGAACAAGACATGTACACCCAAAGACCTGTGGCGAGACATAAAACAAATGTTTAGTTTGAAAAATAATTGAATGAGAAATTCTATTTTCAAGAAAAGGCGAGGGCATTCTATGTATTAAAAACTATAAGTGAGAATTGCACCATCGCAATGATTTAGATAAGATTTGTTGTCTTTTTTGGAAACCATGAAGAGAAAAATAATTTTCTTGGGTAACACCCATCCTCATACAATAGGAACATTGAGGATGACCATCTCTACCCCTTGCCTCCACGATTTCCATGACCACCCCTTCATTGAGTAGAAATTGTTGCAAAATTTTCAACAAACCTAACCAAGTTTTCACCTTTCACCTTAGTAGGACCATGGAGAAGTCTAGTGACAATTGACAAGGTTGTCTATTGAAGGAATTTTATGACCAATTAGAATTTGGTCACACACATGATTAATCATAGTGCAAAGTTTGTAAAATTAGACACCATATAATGCCTATCAAGTTTCTTCCATATTTCCTTCAAGGAATCATCATCTTAGAACATCCTTAACTCTTTCACAGTAGATTGAGCTTTAGCATCATGAGAAATCATATGATGACTAGTCTATTTGAGAGAAGTTGTTTTTGGGTAGCATCATACAAATGCTGAATGTTATTCACATATATATTTTGGGCTTTCATTCAAAAGGAACAAATTTTAAAGGTTCTAAGAGTTCTTAAAATATTTGGTTCAATAGTCTACCATAAAGTTGTACACAACTAAAAATCAAGCTTCTTCCACTTAGCTTGATTTTTTTTTTGATTCTTCAATATCCTTCTTTTTACCATTGAACTTTTCTATGGTAAGGGTGGAGTCCCAAAAATTAACTTTTCTATGGTAATGGTGGGAGTCCCAAAAATTGAGAACAGTGTCTAGAGATGGCATACAACAAGGAAGCAAGAAAAAGGCCAAAAAGGAGAAAGGGAGAACAAAACAACAACAAACCACTCACAAGGTGATGAAACTAAGGTTGTGAATGATCTCAAAAGGCGCCAATGTGCAACAACAGTGTCATGATGAGGTCCTGACAGCTAGAAGTATATGCGCCTGACAGAGCCTCCTACAAAATTGGTGCATGTGGACACATATGGAGGTTGATGCCACGTAACTCTCTTGGGGTAGGTTGCGCTCAACGAGGCACACCAAACCCTAATATAAGCTCGCTGGTGGATGAGACAGACAAGTAGAGTGGGATCATACATGATCAAATACCTAGTTAAATGTTTTTAAGAGAAAGACATCGAGTCAATTTTCCATTGATGGGAGTTGAGAATATATATATATATATATATA